TTGAGCATTGTCTATTTAGTTCTGTACTCCACTTTTTAATTGTATTGTTAGGTGTTTTGGAGACTAGCTTCTTGAGTTCTTTGTATATTTTGGTCTCCTGTACCGATTAATTCAAGGGTATTTCCCACTTTATCTTCTAATAGGTTCAGTGTGGCTGGGTTTATGTTGAGGTCTTTGATCCATTTTTGACTTAAGTTTTGTTCAGGGTGAAAGGCTTGGGTCTATCTGTAGTCTTCTACATGTTTGCATCCAGTTATGCCAGCACCATTTGTTGAAGATGTTCTCTTTGTTCCATTGTATGAATTTGGATTGTTTGCCAAAAATCAGGTGTTCGAAGGTGTGTGGGTTAATATCAGGGTTTTCTACTCTATTCCATTGGTCTACCTGTCTATTTTTGGGCCAATACCAAGCTGTTTTCAGGACTATAGCTCTGTAATAGAGCTTGAAGTTAGGGATGGTGATGCCCCAGAAGTTCCTCTGTTATACAGGGTTGTTTTGGCTATCCTGGATCTTTTGTTTCTCCATATAAAGCTGTTCCTCTGTTATACAGGGTTGTTTTGGCTACCCTGGATCTTTTGTTTCTCCATATAAAGCTGAGAATTGTTCTTTCAACGTCAGTGAAGAATTGTGTTGGGATTTTGATGGGGATTGCTTTGAATCTGTAGATTTGCTTTTAGCAAGATTGCCATTTTTACTATGTTGATCCTACCTATACAAGAACATGGGAGATCTTTCCATTGAAAATGGTGTTTTCAATTCTTGTAATGAATTGTGTTGGAATTTGGATGGAGATTGCATTGAATCTGTAGATTGCTTTGATAAGATGGCCATTTTCACCATATTAACCCTACTGATCCATGATCATGGTCCATGGTTCCATTGTCTGATATGTTTCTTTAATATTTTTTTTATGTCTTAAGATGGCAAACTTGACCAACCAGTATGGAAATCAGTGTGTCAGTCCCTTAGGAATCTGGGAATAGATCTACCTCAAGATCCAGCTACCTTTCTTGGGCATGTATCCATAGACTGTTCCATTCTGCTACAGAGACACTGGCTCATCATGTTCATTGCTGCTCTACTTATAATAGTCAGAAATTGGAAACAACCTAGATATCTGTCAATGGATTAATGAATAAAGAAAATGTAGTACTTTTACACAATGGAATATTACTTAGACATTAAAAACAAAATTACGAAATTTTCAGATGAATAGATGGTGCTAGAAAAATAATTTGAATGAGGTAACACAGACCCCCAAATACAAATATAGTATGCGTTTGCTTCTATATGGATATTAGCTGTTAAGCCATCAATAAACAGGTTTTAATCCATATAACCATGAAGGTTGGTTATAGAGTAAGGAAGGGAGTGGGGGTGGATGGATGAATCTACTTAGGAAGAGGAAATAGAACAGGTAGCTATACAGAGATGTCGGGAGACTGGAATGGGAGGATTACAGGGAAAGGGAGTGGGAAGAGGAGCAAGTGACGAGATACAGGGAAGGACAGCTAAAATGAAGACCTGTTTGAAGGGTCATATGGAAACCCACTACAGTACATTTTTCTGAAAATAAGTACATATACTAAAGAAATCCAAAGGGAACCACCAAGTAACAGGGAAGACAAAGTTGTAACTAGACATCTATTGCCACCAAATGGTACCTTCAGTGTTGGGAATGGGTTATATCCAATTAGATTACTGGCCAATGGGCCTCCATAGGAAACCCCAAACAACTCAGCTATTGCTAAGTCTGTTGGTTGCTCTCCATAAGCTGATGGTAAGGCATTATTGCTGAACACAATGCCTATATAATTCACTACACATAAAGCAATACAGCTGATGCCTATCTAGGGCCTTCACCCCTACTGACTAGTGTTCTTGGTACCTGAAGGCACTCTGCGTGCATTCTTTTGAGAATTGGACAAGGCTGTTTCTATTTTGTGGAATTATTGGAGGAGTATTGGAGTTAATTCTTCTTTGAAAGTCTGGTAGAATTCTGTGCTAAATCCATTTGGCCTTGGGCTTTGTGTTTTTAGTTGGAAGACTTAATTGCCACCTCTATTTTACTAGGCAATATAGGTCTGTTTAAACTATTTATCTATTCTTGATTTAACTTTGGTAAGTGTTATATATCAAGAAGTATATGCATTTAGTTTAGATTTTCCAACTTGGTGAAGTATAGGTTTTTAAGGTTCCTTATTGTTCTCTGGATTTCCTCATTATCTGTTATTATGTCCCTCCATTTTGTCTCTAATTTTATTAATTTAATCAATCTCTGTCTTTTAGTTAATTTGGCTAAGGGATTATCAATCTTATTGATTTTCTCAAAGACCCGACTTTTGGTTTCATTGATTCTTTCTTTGTATTGTTGTTGTTGTTTTTTATTTCAGTCCTAAATTTGCTTATTTCTTGCCTTCTACTCCTTTTGAGTATTATTTATTCTTTTTGTTATAGACATTACAGATATGCTATTAAGTTACTAATATGAGGTCTGTCCAATTTTTTTTTATATATAAAACACTGGTGCTATGAATTTGCCCCTTAGAACTGCTTTTATTGCGTCCCATAAGTTTGGGTATGTTGTGCTTTGACTTTCATTCAATTCTAAAAAGTTTTTAATTTTTTACTTAATTTCTCTCTTGACCTCGTTTTCATTTAATAGTGTTTATTCAGTTTCTATGAGTTTTTGCACTTCCAGCTGTTTTTGCTATTGACATCTGGCTTTTTTTCCTCTCCATTTTTTATTTAAATTAGAAACTAGATTATTTTTCATGTCAATCCCAGTTCCCTCTGCCTCCCTTCCTCCTCTGTCCCCCCCACAGATAGACCCTACCTATCCCATACCCTTTCTCCTCCCCAGGGAGGGTGATGCCTTCCTTAGGGTGTCTTCAGAGTCTGACTTCTAGCTTTTGTCTGTGGTGGTCAGATAAGATGCAGGGTGTAATGTTGATTTTCTTGTATCTGTTAACATTTTCTTTGTGTCCAAGAACATAGTCAATTTTGAAGAAGGTTCCATGAGGTGCTGAGAAGAAGGTGTATTCTTTTGTGTTTGGGAAAAATGTTTTGTAAATATCTGTTAGGTCCATTTGGTATATAACATCAGTTAGCTATAGCATTTCTCTGTTTAGTTTTTGTCAGGACGATCCATCTATCAGTGAGAGCGGGGTATTGAATCCTCCCACTATTAGTGTGAGAAGATCAATATGTGGTTTCTTTTCCAAACATGGGTGTGTTTGTGTTTGGGGCATAGATGTTAACAATTGCAGTGTCCTCAGCCAGGTGGTGGTGGCACACGTCTTTAATTCCAGCACTTGGGAGGCAGAGGCAGGTGGATCTCTATGAGTTCAAGGTCAGCTCAGTCTACAAATCAAGTTCCAGTACAGCCAGAGCTGGTACATAGAGAAGCCCTGTCTTGAAAAGAAAACAACACAGAAAACAAACTAAAACCACCAGCAGCAAAAAGAATTGCAGTGTCCTTTTGGTGGATTTTTCCTTTGATGAATATTTAGTTCCTTTGATATCTTTCTCTCTTTTTTTTTTTTTTTCCGAGACAGGGTTTCTCTGTGTAGCTTTGGAGTTCCCAAAGGTTGATCAAGGTTGACACATGAACTGATCATCTTCTAGGACTTTCCGTTTCGTCCTGTGAGACATGTATGAATGTGTACATTATTATTTCCACATGAATAATGCTTAAAACCCTCTATGTCATAAATAAATATTGTCTGGACATATTTGTGGATATGCTCTGGGTTCTCCAAGCACCACAGGCTAGTGAGTGGGTCAGCCAGATGGCCTAGGGCTCTCCAGGGATTGTGTATCTTAACTAAGAAGGCATTTTAGTTATACATTGAGTTCTCATAGGATTAGTCTGTGTTACTAAGTACTTCCCACCTTTTCCTCTTTGGGGAACCATTTGTTTCTGTGTTTCCTCTAAGTGTGGCTGTTCCAGCTTCTGCATGTTACCCCATCAAAAATAGAAAAGAATTTTTGGGGCTCTGATTGTTTGAAGACAAAGTGCATCTAAGCAGTAAGTTTGTATGCACCCCACTAGAGGGTAATGCGTTTTGGGGGTGGGTGAGTTTTGTTGTTGTTGTCTGTTGTTCATCTTTGAGTTTCAAAACCAGGCAAGTGGCCTTGAAGATGTCTTCAGGGAAGGAAGGTATATGTGAAGTCTCACATTGCGCTTCTTTCCCTGGGTGACCTTCATTTTCTGCTCCCTGAACCCATGAGGCAGTTAAAGGTGAACCTATTATGACCCAGGTAAATTCTGTGACAGCTTACTTTGTTTATATTTTTAAAAAGACGTCTTTTTTTCAGAATTATGTGTGTAAGTATATGTTGGGGAGGTATATGTATATGTGAGCACCAGTACCCCCTATCTAGAAGAAGGTGTGGGATGCCCTGGAGCTAGAATTACAGGTCGTTGTGAGCTACCTAACATGGGAAATGAACTCAGGTTCTCTATAAGAGTAGTACATGCCACTGAGCCATTTCTCCAACCCGTTGTTCACATTGTGGCTTTCCCTTAGCATTTTTTTTTTATTGTTTCTTTTGTTTTAGGCTTCTCAATATTTGTTTTCTTGGAGTTCATTACACATTTAGTATGAGGGCTTTGTTCTTTTGGTGAATTTTCTTTTGGTGAATTTTTAGTTGTCTCTTAGCATGAGAGTCAGTCAGTGTATGGAGTTCTCCAGGTTACAGAAATGGAAGGCGGCTAAATGTATAATCCTCACTTTATGTTTTGTCACTTTTGCCTGAAGGCTTGCTGGAGACAGAACCACTGCAAGGAAGAGATGAGGATGCACTAGCCAGTGCTGACTTCTCTAACATGCTCTCTGAGGAGGAGAAGGAAGAGTTAAAGGCAGAATTAGTTCAGGTATGTTTAGTAATCTTCTATTTCTATCTTTTGCTCAACACAGGTCCTCTATTGCAATGATGTCGTCTTTCCTGTGGTGAAGTGTCATAAATGAACACATGGCAGGATGATTCATTTTTTTCCAAGGTGTTTTTGTGATGCTGGTAGCGTCTGCCATGGTAAAGTGGGTGGCGGTGCTGTGTAATTCACAATAACAGTGTTAAGTATGCACTTCTTGTTTTCCTTAGTGTAGAGATGTTGTGCAAAAGTTAATGACTTGAGAATCAGGTAGAATGTGTTTACAACCGTGGGACAGACCAGGTGTGGCTGTGCATGCTTGTTATCCTTGCATTCAGGAGGATGAGGCAGGAAGATGAAGAGTGGAGGTTAGCCTGGGCTATGGAGGGAGTCCCAGGCTAGCTTGGACCACATAATAAGACCTTGTCTCAGAAGCAACAAAATAAATAAATAAATAAACCATGGCATGGGTGTAATTTGCTTATTAAAATCAGTTCTTCAAAATTTTTATTATTTTAATGAAAATATCAGTTACAAGAGCAGCTGACTTGGCTCTCTTGACAAGAATAAGGCTCTGGGGCTGGAGAAGTAAGCTACAATTAACTAGGGCTTAATTGGAGCATTTGTAGCTGCTGTAGGGACCCATTGTAGGGGAAAGGAAAATGCCAGACTCATCCAAAGCACAGGTCAGTGCCAAGCCTTTTGCAGGTGGTGCCCTCTCACTCACTGACTCGAAGCTTAGGGCTGTCTCCTTTGCAGACAGGGCTGGAGAAGGGGTCCTGCAGCAGAGCGAAGCAGGATGACAGAAGAGGTAGAAGCCACCATTCCTTCCATATCCAGTTCTCAGGGCAGGATTCTCTTGTCCCTGTGAAACCGTGGCTTCCTCTTCTGCTGTCACCTCCCCACTGGCTCAGGACACAGCCTCGGGCCCCACCACAGCTGATGCGCTATGATAGCTCACTGTCTCAGTAAGGTCTTAACTGATTGCCACAAATTGCTGTACATTTTATACTATGTTTTATTATTTACGTTGTGTTTTCTTGAGGCTGAATTTTGCTGTATAACCCAGGATGATGTGGAACCAACATTCCTTCTGTTTGGCCTGCTGAGTTGGGTTCTAACAATGTTTACCAACACACCCGCTATAAGTTTTCATTTTATTTTTATTGACACATGATAGTAGCATGTACCTATAGGGTACAGTGTGATATATTCATACATGTGAGTAGCATGTGGCAGCCGAATAAAGATGTATAGTGTTTATCTGCCGCCTCACACATCTACTTTGTGTGTGTGTGTGTGTGTGTGTGTGTGTGTGTGTGTGTGGTGAGACCATTCTGTCTCCTAGTTACTTTGAAATGTATAGTCAATATTATCACCCTACTGTGCAGTGGAGCCTCAGAACTTATTCTTATCTAAAATAATTTTGTATCCTTTGACCATTTTCTCCTCACTGCCCTGTTTCCCTCCCCTGCCTATAAACACTATTTTACTCTGCTTCTATTGGTTTTTTTTTTTTTTTGTATCAAATATAGATGAGATTTTGTAGTATTTGTTTTGGTGTGACTGCCCTTAAAATAATTTCATTTTAAAATAAGAGACCAACTTGGTTCTGTAACTCTACTGGGAAATATTTCAGCAAGCACCCTGTCTCAAAAGAGTGGCTTTTTACCTGGATTTCTGTGTGGCCGCTGATTGGTCGCACATGCCAGAGTGCAGAACAAAGGTCGCCTTAATGGGTAATAGGCTAACTTCATGAGGTCTCATGACTCAAAATTCTGTCTTAGGACCTGTATATGTCAACTGTGGTATCCAAAAATTATGTTCTATAAACTGCTACAGGCTAATTGACTTGAAGCTGGACCATAAATCCCTGTCTACAAGAGCTCCAGTGTCAGCACAAGAAGCCTCCTGTAACAGAATGACTCCTATAAAGTGTCTTGTTTTGTCTGGGTTCTGGGATTATTGGGATGTGCTTATATACATCTAACAATTCAGTATGTTCTTGTATGCAACTGTGAGCAGGGATTGTTCTTCTTCTCAGTGGGAATGTAAGCATTGGTTTGAGACGGATGCTCCCTGAATGCAAGCAACCAGCAACATCTCAGAATTCCCTGCCTTCTTGGTCACAGCGTCATGCTTCCAGCAAGTTTCATTTCTGATACTTTTGGGGTCAGAATTCTGATGGTTACGCCAGACCCTTTGTGACTGTGTTCAGGTTACTGGGATTCATGATTCCAACCTTCCCAGTGCACTGGCCTTTAATACTTCCTGTTTATCTTTGGGCACTTCAGAGATACTCACCAAGGGTAAAAGTTAGCATCATGACTTCCAGAGACACTTGGGCAGGGTCTGTCCCCCAGACAGTGAAAAGACAGGCACAGGTATCTTTGAAATTTTCCCTCACCCATTTCCAGTTCTCCCTCGTTATCCTCACATTGGCCTTGCCCTTTTCCAAAATCAGCTTTCCTTCCCCTTTCTCTGCTCTTGCACAGAGCCTCCTGCTTTTGTGCAGCCAGCACCTCAGGGACTTTACATCACAGGGCCTTTACACTGCAGACACGTTGCAATTTTATTTGCAGTGCTAGGATCCAGTTGTTACAAGAACACACAGAGATCACTCTCAGCTATCTCGGCACTTTCTGAAAGCTCAGCCCCCATCTCAGCCTTCCACAGGTGGTCTCCTTGCTCAAAAGTAGCTCTTCTCTGTATCTGGAAGGTCTTGTTGGGGTTCTCAGGCATGGTATGGACTCCTCAGAGGCCAGCAGCTAGCTCAGCAGGTAGAGGTGCCTGTAGCCAAGCCTGGTGACTTGAGTTCGATCCCTGAGACTCACAGAGTGGAAGCAGAGATCAAGTCCCACAGGTTGTTCCTCTTCATGGTTCCCTCATAGCTTCCTGTTGCCTTCTGGCTGCCCCCCCCACACACACACTTTGTTGTGAATGGTCCAATAAGGGTGTCCTCAGTCTTCTAAATCTGTCCATCCATACAGCCAACATGTTTTGAGCACTACTTGAACTGCAGTTTCTTTTATTATGTTATACTTGTATTCTTAAGATTCCTTGGACATGAAACCAATATCACCCCTATCCTGGTGCAGTGGGGTGTGCATTGGTGTCCAATCACTGCTTGAGTTGTTTTGCAGCTTAATCAAAACTCTGTATTGCTAATGCCCAAAGTGGAGTATGTGATTTTATGGATCTTATCACTATGTTACAAGGGGCTTTTTTATTTCTGGTATTTGTTCTGCCTTATCCCCAGCTGCTTAAGGTCTTCAAATACCTAATTATCTCTCTTTTCACTTAATAATTCTTGCTGTCATCTCTTTCCCTTTTTGCTTCCTCTAAGCTGCGTTTGATGCACAGTGTTCTGTAATGTGCCTGACTTTGGAAAGATGGAAGTGTGGGCACCAGCACTGTCAATTTGTGGTTATATAACAATTCAGTATTGCCAATGTCCCTAGATAAAATGAATCAAGAAAAACAGGCATTAATAAGAGTGGGGGAAAAA